TACCATCCCTGATTCACAACAACCAATCTCTCCTATAGGTTTCCTATTTTTGAAACTTCCGCCACTGCCTTGTGCGGTACTACTGGTATCTTCTAAGAAACTCTCTCTTTCTCAGATGAAATGTGTACGTGCCTCTTTTTGGCAGAATTCAGGCTATGGCCTTGCACAGTGCTAGAAAAAAAGTCGAAGGAGCGTAGATCGGAAGAGAGATATCGTGAGACTTTAGAATACTTTATATAAACAAATGAAGCCTCCTTACCCGTCCCTGCCTGCTTCTATAATCATCTAATATTTGGGGGTATATAACGGTATATACAGCAAATTCATGTAAATTCATGTAAATTCCATCTAAATGTTGCCAATTTTGTCTCCACGGTGCCTGAATATACAAGGATTCGGCAAAGGAAATGACGTCTTCAATCTCGAGCTCAGTATAAGAGTGGTTGTAGGGCGTATTGTCTGTCCGATCAGTGTGACCCAGAGGGGAGGCCCGCCTGAAGGCTCCTAAACGAATGAGATTTGGATACTTGGCCACCGGAAAGCGCCAACCTTGATCATCCGTGAGGTGCCAGTGGAAGTGGTTCATTTTGAACAGCGCCATAGTTCTCAAGAGGTGCTTCACATCTGCTGGGTAGAAGAAATGTCGGCTGACATCCAACCTGTGGATTGGAACGGCTACAAGCAGAACTTTCAGGACTCGACGAACAATTGCTCAGGACAATCTGAGATTTGCGATATTCATTATAAAAGATCTACTGCTGCATTGTCCAAAAAACATCAATCCTCGCCAGTGGAGAGCAGGTTCATCCCGGATCTCAACCCTGGGAATTTTCCACCGCGAACCATTTAAATCATTCGAATTCGAATCCTTCTGCAGCAACTGTCGCACAGTCATGACGCCATGGAAGAGGCCATGCTCAGAAGCCTTGGATTTTCTTCTGCAAATGGCGCAGATTGACACGAACAGTGCTTGCGAATTATCGGGCACAAACGGACTGAATGCACAGGACCCAAAATGACTGAAATGTACACTGCCGTTGCAGAGCAGGTATTAAATGATTATGTTCGACCATGCTTGACCGCGCCACGCACCCCGAAAACTAAAATACCAACAACTGCAATAAAAACAAAAAACAACATGCTCCAATCTCTCAAGGTTTCTTACCTTCATCACTTCAGTTGCTCCCAAGACTGTTTCTTGCAATCTTAGGCATGATCCTAGCATCAAAAATAGATTTCAAGCCTCTGCCTACAGGCCCTTGAGTAAATTACAGTAGGTGTGCTGATTTCTTCTTTACTATTCTTGTGTTGAGTTTTAGAGAGATTGCCATCCGTTGTGGTTCCTGTGTGTTCGTTGTTTTCTGCATGTTTCTTACCGTTTTTTCAATGTTTTTCATCGTACTTTTTGTGGTTTTCATGAATTTGTCCATATCTGTATCGTTTTTTTGGTGCTGGTTCTCGTCCATTTTTTCATGGTGTTGATTTTCTTGTGATGGTTTTCACCCATCTCTCGCTGGTTGTCCTCGTTGTTTCATGTTTCTTTTTATCAAATTGGCGATGGGTTTTATTGTTTTTGCTTTGGTGGTGTTGATCGATTTTTGTTTTTTATCGATTTGTATTGTCTGTTTCCACACCTCTTGCCCCAAGTTCGAAGTCCTTCTGCCTGAGCGAGACATCGCGAAGTTGCACCCCGAGTAAGTCAGCCAAAAAAGGCTACAATACAGGCAGAAGCCAAGGTCCAAATTTGGAGCTTTCAGTGGAATGTCGTGGGTTGTCCCTCAACCAAAACTATGGTTTGTTTGAAGAAAAGGAAACCAAGAAGGTGAAAGGCGAAAAACTACGAAATGACAGTTTGCAGAAGGCAGAAAACTAAACCCAAGAAGCAAACAAGCCAACGAATCAACCAACCCAGAAGCCAAAAAGTCGAATGTCAGCCTAGACCAAACAAAAGCCCGAAGCCAAGAAACCAAAGAAGTGAAGCCATTTAATAAATGGAAAAAGTGAGAGAAGCTGCCACAGAAATCACGAAAAAAAACAGGATTCGGAAATCACACCACCAAAGGGGAAGAAGCCACAAAACTACCAGCCAAAATATCTTATTTGGTATTGTATTTAGCACAATATCTCAGTATGTTGGACCAGAAGCACAAGAAGCCAAAGAAACCCAAGAAGAAGCAGCAAAAGAAGAAGCCAAAGAAAAGCTAAAGAAACCAAGGAAACGAAAGAAGCCAAAGAAGCCAAAGAAGTTAAAGAAGCCAAAGAAACTACAGAAGCCAAAGAAGCTAAAGAAGCCAAAGAAAAGCCAAGAAGCCAGCAAAAAAACTACAGAGGCCAAAAAGAAGCAGCCAAAGAAAAGCCAAAGAAAAGCCAAGAAGCCAAAAAACTACAGAGGCCAAAGAAGCTAAAGAAGCCAAAGAAGCTGCAGAATAAGAAGCCAAAGAAGCCAAGGAAACTACAGAAGCCAAAAGCCTAGCAGCCGGAGGAAGACCTCCAGACCAAAAGAATCAAATCAAAAAAAATACTCCGGCATAGACCCTAGACAGCAATGTTTTCTTTGCAAGGAGAGACGGCTGGGTGGGAGACAAGGCCGCCGCAGCAGCGCGATCATGCCGGGGGCTATAGCTGACGCTAGCTGGCGAAAAATCGAATGCCCCTCTGTAAAGTAGTGTATCCTCCCTCCAACTCACACAGACCTTGCCCAGTGTGGGTTGGGAGAATTTGGAAGACGAATGTTCCCTTGAGATGGGCGATTCTCTTATGGTAAATTATATACTATATTGTAAATATATATATATACATTACTGTAGCACTGAATCGAATAGACAAATCAGTCATCAAATGCATGAAATCCAGATCAAGGCCAGGAAACTGCCTCAATGACCACCCTATCAGAAACGTTGAGCACACACCCTTCCTCTCCGAGCTTCACATCTTTCAACCGCAGCTGGAAGAATGCATCTTCACTGGTTACCTGATCAGTGCCATACAGTGCAGTGCCATACAGTGCCCATGGGTGATCTCAGTGCATCTGCAAGTGCTGACTCTGTGTGAAAGAATTCGGCACGTGTCCAGCGAGGTTCATGACCTACAAACCCCGCGATCCAACAAGGCCAACAAGAAGGTTGCACTCGGCGAAAGTTCTCAAGCCCGAACCCAATGACAAAGGGCAAGATGTTAGGTAATGTTTAGTAATGTTACATTGTTTCAGAAATCGCTTTAAATAATTTCGTTGGCCGTTGGCCTGATTGCGGGAATGATGTCACAGAGTTTTCTACATTTTTTACACGTATCTGTATATGTGTATATATATAAATATATATATATATATGTATTTATTTATTTATTCATATATATATTTATTCCATGTTATTCGGAAATGTAGCGTGGTGCGGGCCTGCCTGTCTTAGCCTGCTTGTTGGAAGGATTTCATTTTTGCATTTTTGTAAACTGCCAAATGTATTCGACTCAAAACCTGAGTCCAACTTCAAGGGCAACAAAATCTAGACTCTCGTTATCTATGGTTTTCCCCTTTGAAGGTTGCTAAAGACACCTCACGAAACTGAAGGAGGTGCTCTTGCATGCGATGGAAGCCAAGTCTTTCATCTAAGTTGCTGTTGGCCCTATGAATTCCTCCAAAGTCCGTACCAAAGCAGCTGGTGCATCCACTGTGATTCGCGGGATCTCTAACACTCCCTTCTTCCTCGAGAACACACAGCGTTGTGCCCAATCTGGCATCAAATCAGAATGAGTTGACCTAGGGTATTCTGTCTATCTTGGTGAATCCAAAGAGCCATCTTACCATGTCTGACCTCTGGAAAAGAGATCTGGTCACGCAGACTGCAGCGGTCATTTTCAGCACCACCACCACCAGAGAAAAGATAACAACCAACTAGAACGAAACACTCCCAAACACAGTCCTGAGAACTGATTTTGGTGCTGGAATAATCGCAAGCGGCTCCTGTCACAGTTGCACATAAACTAGCAAGAATCTTGACAGGGTCAGAATCAGATCCTTACAGTGTCTTTGCTGGATTTTGTGGCAAGTATCCGAATTATTTTTTGAGAGAACCTACAGATGTTGGCCAACAGCTTCTCAAATTATTGATAGTGTTCGCCCTTTGCCTTTCCCGCAGTCAACTGCCAAACCCTAGCATGGTCCTCTTTTGGAGCATTAAAAAGTGAGGACTGCGTGCGTAGTTGAAGAAGTGATGGTCCAGCATCCTTACATATGAAAGAATGCAATGGAGGCAGGCATAATATAGGACGGCATAGGCGTGCATAATCAGTGAAGCAATCCGTTCCCAAAGTTCTCCCGAATCATTTGCTCCCAGAAGACTATCCAAGTTTTCAGGACTGGTCCAGTGTTAGAGCAACTCAGCACGGACGGTTTTTTTTCCTTTCACTCCTCCTCGTTGCCTCTCTTTTGCTCTTCATGCTCCTTCATGCTCTTTCATGCTCCTTCATGCTTCCTCTGTCTCCGGTTTGCCCCCAACCTTTGGGCATTCTCTGAGTCTCCCTCTGACATTCTTCTGGAACTATATTGGTGACAAAATGTTTGAAGAGGTACCCAAACACTACACCCACAGTCTTGGACATAACATGATTGGGCTACCCAACAGGGACCTGATTTTATATATATATACTGTATATATATATATACAATGTGTTTGTATATAATATATGTATAAGTATCATACGCACTGTATATATATATATATGTATGTACGCATATGTATATATAGACATAAAATACTGAATCTCTATAACTACATACCTACATACATACATACATACATACATACGTACATACATACATACATACATACATAAATATATATATATATATATAGTGTGTGTGTGTAAATATCATATATAATATGATATATGGTACCCCGCCAAAAAAAACTACCCGTTTACTACTTTACTGATATATGCATTGCATATTTGAAGGGAATACGCTTTAAGTTGTTTTTGTTTACTTTAAATATACATTCTGGCAGTAGATTCGAGAGGGGGGGTACCACATAGATAGATAGAGAGATAGATAGAGAGAGAGAGAGAGCTAGATAGATAGATAGATAGATAGGTCGGTCGATAGATAGCTAGGTAGGTAGGTAGGTAGGTAGGTACATAGATAGATACCGGACCTCCAAATACGATAGACAAGTTAGATTTCCATCACCTAATCTTAGGATAATTTTGAATTCTTAAGCGTTTGCAAGTGATTGCAAACAATCAGATTCAAGATTCAAGGCTCTCCGAAAACTTCTTGAATCCAACCCCTGGGCCTTGGAGGCTTGAATCCATGTCCTTGGACTCAAGAAGTTTCTGAAAACCTTGAAGATTCAAGATTGAATCCAACGAGTTGGATTCAACAAGTTTTCTGAGAGCCTTGAATCTTGAATCGTGCATCTTGAATGGTCTGCTTGCAAACGTTTGCCAAGGGGACTGGCAACCATACGCCTAAAGTACAAGGTTCTTCCCATGTTCCATCAAAAACGAAATTGTCCGTTTTTTGAACTTTTTATGAACAGGAATGCTAAATGCAAAAGATCGAAGAAAAAACATGGTGTTTGATGAAAAACCAACAAAACAAAACAAAAAACAAACAACTCAAGGAAAACCAAAGAACCAAAACTTTCGACTTCAGCCAGGGAATCTGTGTGTGTTTTTTTTTGATTAGGTCATCAGATTTTGTGTTCTCTCTCAAAACAAAAAATCCTGTGAGTTTCAAATTTGTCATGAAAAAGAACAGAAAAACCAAACTACTCAAGGATAATTTTGTTTTTGAGGAAGAAACAACGTTCACCTGCAGAAATAAAAAATCAAGGAAAACCAAAGAACCAAAACTTTGACTTCAGCCAGGGATAACGTTTTCCTAAAGTTTCTTAGCCTTTTTCGTGGGCTTGCATTATATTATATATGTTGCAAGGACTGGAGGAACATGTGAATTTTCCTGAAGGCTCAGATCATTTACATGTGTATCTGATAAGCACACACTTAGCCTTCCTTGAAAAAGACCAGCTTTCAGCTTTCCTATTTAGATGTTTTTGCTCGCAGACTGCACTGTATTTTTATATAATACCATACATTTTCCTCGTGCATAAATTCCTGCAACCTATTCCATCCTTTAAAAAAAACACATGCGCAGTAGTGTTCCTTTTGAAACCATTCAGCCTTCCTTTTTTTTCCCCACCTGCCAGGTGAGGGTTGTTGGGACCTTCCGAGCTCAGTGAGCACCGCTGGACCTCAACCTGGGCCTGTCCGAGCTCAGTGAGCACGGACCTCAACCTGGGACCCTCCGAGCTCAGTGAGCACCGCTGGACCGCTGGACCTCAACCTGGGACCCTCCGAGCTCAGTGAGCACCGCTGGCCCTCAACGGCCAGATAGAATGCCAGAAGATATGCCAGATAGAATGCCAGATAGAATGTCAGAAAGAATGCCAATGCCAGAAGATATGCCAGATAAAGTGCCAGAATGTTTGCGAGATAGAATGCCACAAGATATGCCAGATAGAATGACAGAAGGTATGCCAGATAGAATGCCAGATAGAATGTCAGAAGGTATGCCAGATAAAGTGCCAGAATGTTTGCCAGATAGAACGCCAGATAGAATGCCAGATAGAATGTCAGAAGATATGCCAGAAGATATGCCAGATAGAGTGCCAGAAGATATGCCAGAACATATTGTAGAAGATCTGCCAGGTAGAATGCCAGAAGATATGCCAGATAGAATGCCAGAAGATATGCCAGATAAAATGCCAGAAGATATGTCAGATAAAATGCCAGAAGATTTGCCAGTAACAAAACGTATAGATGCCATGGTGGGGATAACTCGAAGTAAAGTGATTGAAGGGGTACCTGCTTCTTGAATGGACATTCCTCATTTCCCTAAAGAAATATTGCACCCTTTTCTATCAAAAATATCAAATGGTTTTCTCATGTTGAAGGGAATAGTCCATGATGTGTGCCATGCAATCTTAAAAGGAATTGCATACTATTTCCAAGGAATCCTGCATACATAAAAGGTTTCTATTGTGAATCAATATGCAACTGCCCTGCAAGGAATTTGTACTCTTTTTAAGCGGGTTCTGCACACTTATAATTTCAAATGCTGCATACATTTGAACCACATGCTCTTCAAGCAAGATAATACTGCTTTCAAAAGAAGGTCCTGCATACAATAAATTCGGTTTTGATATCGATGCAATGGAACTAATGGTCCACCATCTTGAAAAGAACTGTTGAACATGTTATATAAAGATTTCTTTGAAAGTAATTCTGCGCTCCTTTGAAGGACAAGCTGCACTCTGTGAAAGTTGGAACCCATATGCCATATATATATATGTTATTGCAATGGACTGGTCTACGTCTGGTCAATTCAGTAACGTTTGCACTTGTTGAGGATCTCGTTAGAGAATAATATTGCACTTCTTTAAAAGATATGCTGCACTCTTTGAACATGACGAAGGTTATATTCTTGCAATGAAATAATCTGCCCTTTTGCAACATGTGTTTGCCCATTTTGAAGATCTGTTTATTAAGACACAATACTGCGCTCGTTTAAATATGTATGTATGTATATATATATATGTATGTATATATTATAGATGCATGCACAAAGTGAGACCCGACTTTGCTCAGGGAATATTGCGCTTTTGAAAAATACTGCAAAAAATATGTGTGCGCATTGTTGGCCTATGTTTTGTTCTCAGGTATGTCCTATTTGTTTCGAAAGCTATGAAAACCTTGGGAAGATAACAAGCAAAACAAGAATCATGTTCCTAATTAGTCGTTACAAGCTACCAAAAGGTAGGTGGTGAGGGAGGCTAGCATATATATATATATAATTATATATATATACATCTACACAGTGTAATTACATATCTATATTATATATACACACATACAGTCTATCTGTCTGTATATATATATATGTATACTATAATATACTTGCATAAAGAAGTATTAAAAGATAAAGAAAAATATATGTAGTAGTGATGGCCAAAACTATCCCACGCTAAACTCAGGCATACTTGGGCTCAAACTTGGGCACAGGAAGACTCGCCCTGGCTGCAAGGTTCCACACAATAAGCTCCAATTCAGTTCCAGCCAAGCAAATCCAGTTTTCAAATTGTCGGGGTCCACTGGGTGCCTGCTAATATGAGAACTTTGAAATTGAAAGACTCCCACCGTTCCAACGAAGTGACAGTCAGAATCTCTGAAGTACCATAATTCTTGAAAATAAGTGCAACGAGGCTGAGGAGTGACGGAAACAATTTTGATGCTGTCCAACCACGCCATCTGCCACCTTCACCTCTGCGTGTGTCTCTGCATAGCCCACCTCACAAAAAGAAATTACGCAATGATATAAATTGATATAAACAGTAATTAATTAAGGCATGGTAACCTGGTAAGGCACCCTCAGAGTCCTCTGAGGAAATCAGCATGATACCATCCTGCTGAACTTGAGTGGATGGATTCTCGGAAAAATCACACATAAATCCCACGGATCTACTGTAACAATCTCTATCTCTATATCTCTCTCTCTATATATATAACATATAATATCAATATACAGTAACTTTTATATATAACTTACATGTAGTGTATATATATAATACATCACTCCATCTCACACCAAACCATTCTTCAACAAATTTGTAGACAAGCTGCGAGCAAATTGAAAATGGACCTAGGATAATTGCCGCAACCAACAACAGCATGTGGATGATGCACTCACTGAGATGAATGAACAATGGCCATCATTCTCTGTTTCAATGCAATTCTTTTCCAAAGACCAGCGCTCGGAAATCTCAGACTGGAGCAGCACCAGAAAAACAGCCATCAGAGCTGTCTTGCCTGAGCAAACTTCGCACATCTTCACACTGCGCAGCAGCATGGGCAGTGCATGGCAGTGTGGTTTGCCATGGATTTGCTCCTTCGATTTGTTGGCGTAATGGGATGGAAAAGCGACTGCAAGAGGCAAGAGGCGCAAAAACTTGTCGCAAAGCACAGCAGGACTGATTGCTTACATTTGCTTACAACATCTTGCAAAAGCTTCGTGAATTCATATGAGCCAAAGTCGGCCGAACTCATTGATTCCATTGATTCCGTTGGTTTTATTGTTTTCATTTCACTGTTCAACGAGGAGAGCGGGAACACGGACTAAGCATGTCTCAGGCACGTCTCTCCAAAGTCCCAACCGAGGCGCTAGGCATCGTATTGGAGTTCAATATCGGATACTTGAGCCCATGACCAGCACAGTATCGGCATCTGGTAGCGACAGTATTTACCAGTGGTTTCCAAAGCAGCTTGAAGCTATGGGCTCTGCTGAAATTTTGAAATCGCATTCAAGAAACACAGAATACACAATACATCACAATAATTACCAAATCATTCCAAATCCAAAGGATCTGCTACCAATGTCAAACTTTTTCGTTCCACGTGAAATGATTGTGTGGTGATACAAGCTCTCAAGCTTGTTGCTCCTGCAGGAAAACATCACTACATGTTACTACCATATGACCCAGGTGAACATCTCCAGAAAGGATACATGCCACTCAGGTACTTCTGAAGTGTGCTTGAAGTGCCATACCACTATTCGGGCATTTGAACGTTGATTTTACATGATTTTACTTGCCTTTCTGAGATGTTCGGTTGAACCGGCGGAGAATGACAAAGTGTGACACAAAATGTGACAGAGTACGACACAGCAAATGAATGGGACTATAACATACTTGTGCTCTCTCTCTCTCTCTCTTTCTGTATATATATAATTTGGGCCATAATATAGAAAAAATGACAAAATGAGAAATGAATGTACATGATCATCATGATCATCATCATCATCATCATCATCCGTCTTTAGATATCTTTGAATATACTATAATATCTATTGATTGTAGGTCCATCTGCGACTACCTCGTAGAACTGCAAAAGGATGGGGCTTTGCCCGCGATGCACGCTGCTCCGAATCACTGCAAAATGGTCGCACGAAAGAAAACCGGTGCAGCTCAAGAAATGCAGCTTTTCAGAAGCGATCCCTGAGCCAAAGGACGATCCAAAAATATCATTTATCCGCGTATATATATATATATATAATCATGGGTATCATTAATTATATCTCATTAATTCTCATTTTGTATCCAACATTGCGGAACAAATAAATGACCAAGGACAAAACTAGTCAAACTTCTGTAAAATGCCAAATGCCAGGAAACGACGCCTTTAGAAACACCTTCGAAATTGGCTCTGGGCTCTGTGACAGGATCTGTGTACTGGGCGTAGTGTTATGACTGAAAGAAGTACAGTCGGCAAAGGCAATTCTGAGCCAGCCTGTAAACCTGCAAGAAGCTGAGCTAGTTGAGCTAATTACAGCGAATCTACATGCCTGAAGAATTGGCATCTTTCATTGAACACACAGTATTTACAGGCTGAAATGAAAACACATTTTTCATCACTGCGTCTGGCATCTTGCTTTGAGGTTTTCAGCGGCATAGACTTGCGCCGATGACGGAAGAGAAATAGCTCTCCGTAGGCGGCTGGAAGGCTGGAGCTTTCCGCGAAAAGCTCATGGCATCCAGTGCCCGTCATTCTGTGTTTGACTGGACTCTGGTGCGAAGTGCGAATATGGATTTTCATGTCTGGCGGTGGCATCAACCAAGAAAGCAACGGTCAATTGATGCACATGTGCGTGTGTGTGTGTGTGCATATACATAAATATAAATATGTATTATGTACATTGTGTATTATACCCGATATAAATGAATATTGTACAGTTCGTACGACAGATTCTGATAGACAGTGCGGTGTGGTCTCCGGTGACTTGTAAAAGATTTTGGCATTGCTCGCACTTCACGAATTCTGTAGGACACAGAGCGGACAAAATGCTGAAATGAAACCTTTTGACTTAGGCATTTTGGAAAACTTTAGGCCTTTAGGCTTTCCGCAATTCACTTTTCAAAGTGATTTCAACATTCTCCGCAACAAATTTGTGTGGCAGAGTTTCGAGGTTTAAGTGAACACATGCAATGGCTCATGCATCAGTGGACACTAGCAGTTCGGGTGTCGCCTGGCATTCGCTGCTTCTGAATCTGAGGGAGTGCTTTGGCATGTTTGGGCAATAAATTCAAATATATTCAATATATTTCAATATAGTACACATGATTTCACACATTGCTCTAAACTATAAACACATGGCTTTAAAACGAATACGCAAAACACAAGCACGTTGCAGCTGCAATGCTTTGCTTTCTGTGGTCGACACTTGGGCGGCTGCGCTGTGTGTTCTTTTTTCCGCTGGAATCTGCACTCGCATTGTCGTCAGCTTCACAAGCAAATCTTGCAATCAATGAGAGCACTTCAGCGCTGTCCAAGAGATCGTTGTGTCCAAGGCCTACAGCTTCGCGCGCTTAAAGACAATGTGCAATCACGTGCAATCATGCAAGGAAGATCAAGGACTGGAGAACGACGACGACGACGACGACAACCCGCGACAATAACTACAGCCACCATAGTAACCTCAACAACCACAACCATAATCATAAAACAAACATGATTAAACATGAATTTAACAAGAGCACAAACGGATAACTCACGTACCATATCATACGAGTACCACAAAGTCTGACAGCAACGACAACGAGCCCAACAAGTACAAGTACGGTTCTGAGCAAATCGTAAAACCCATGAAACGACTGAAAGGAAGTGTTTTGCCGTAGTATTCCTATGTATTCCTCTGAACGCGTAAACTCACTCTAAAGCTCTACCCACTACAAGTATGTGGCAGAACTCATTTGATCCTCGCCTTTGGCAGTCTGGAAGATCGCTCCAGGAATTTCTTTGGCAAGTTCACGGCCCATGTCGTAGGGCACAATCTCATCTGTGTTTCCATGTATCACTAGAGTTTTGCTATTAAGTTGCTTCGCTTTGGCCAGGTTGTCAAATTTATCCTTCAGTAGAAAAGGAAACAGCTTCAACGCCGGACTGAACATCGGATAGATCCTCTGTGACAAAGCCAGCAAACTGGTGAAAGGACTCAGCAAAACGAGTTTTTGGCCATATCCACGTCGGACCATTTCAACTGCTGCTCCACAACCAATGGATTGCCCGACCATCACCAACATAGATTTATCGACCTTCAAGTTGGCCGTGAGATGATCCAGCATGGCTTCGGCTGAGGCGTAGATAGATTCTTCGGTTGGAGAACCAGGTTGAGCAAGGCCATAGCCAGGGTATTCAATACCTCAGAGCGATTCCAACTTTCTCTCGGCTGAACATCAGGATTGGATCAAACCATTCTTGGAAATTTCGGATTTGCTCCAACGTCGATCAAATCAAAAATTCGAAACTTTCCGCGTTCTATGTTTCTGATATGCCTCTGAGATTCCATAAAAGCCAAGACCCACTTGCTGAAGCTGGTTGCCAAGAAACGTGGGACCCCACCCCAACTGGTCAGCATTGCCATGGATAAACCTGAGTTCGTCAAACAGTCGCAT